GCATGGGGGAGGGGTGGGGTAGGGGTGAGAGAAAGCAAAGAGGTGGGAGGGCGACCAAAGGCACAATCGAAGAGGATGGTCTTGAGACTGGCCTTGAAGGAGGCAAGGGAGGAAGCGAAGCGACTCTGAGATGGAGTTCCAGAGTGTGGGGGCAGAGAGGCTGAAAGCCCGGCCACCAATGGTAGGGCGGGTCGGGCGGGAGTCATGGAGCAGACCGGAGCCCGTTGAACGGAACGAGCGGGCAGGTTGGTAGGGAGTCAGGAGGTCACAGAGCTAGGAGGAGGCAAGGCCATGAATGGTCCTGAAAGTGAGGATGAGGATCTTGAATTCAATCCTCTGAGGGATGGAGAGCCATTGGAGTCGGGCGAGGGTGGGAGTGATGGGGTCAAAGAGCCTGGTGCGCAAAAGTACATGAGCTGCAGAGTTTTGTATGATCTGCAGCTTGTGAAGGGAAGAGTTGGGAAGGCCGATGAGGAGGGAATTTCCATAATCGAGCCTTAATATGATGAATGCCTGAGTGAGGATTTCGGCAGCCTGAGGGGTGAGGCAGTGTATTTATTAAGAAATTCACAATAAAATATCAAACACATCACTCAATGAGGCTTCTGAATTTGCTTTTTGTTCATTTGTATCTTCATCAAACAAGTTATGAAATTTTCGGCGGTTTAATGCACGCGCACAAATTTTGTTTATGCAATGCACAACAAGTACACAGGTACACAAGGGAAGTCCAAAGTTTGGGCGCAAAGAGCCTCCTTATGAATAATAAAATGGTACTTCAATAACCTGCATTCCAAAACTTTTCCAACAAAGCAACACAACCATTCCTCTTTCCAGTCATAGCAGGTCATAATATCACTCCAATTCAGAGTGATTACCTGAAGAAATCTAGGCTCAAAAGCACTTTTAGTGACTCTCATCTTCCCCCAATTAATCCCTCGATCTGAGCTAAACGTGTCAGTCGCTAAGTAGCTCAGTCGCTCTCACTCTCACCTCGGAGCCAGAAAGTTGTGGGTTCAAACCCCCTCAGGGACTTTGAGCTCAGAGACCAGGCTGATGCTCCAATGCAGTGCTGGGGAGAGAAAGCACTGCATTGCCGGAGCTGTTAAACCTCACTTCCCATCCATGCCTTGTTCAGGGTTCACGTTAAATATCTCCCGCAGTACCGTCAAGGAAAAGAGAAAAGAGTTTCCCAATCTCCTGGCCGACAGTAAAACTGCTCGCGGCTGTTTACGGAGACGTGGCTGTGATAAAATCGTCTGCCTGCAAATCACTCAGTCACTACACTTTACAGCGAGACCCTGCAAAGCGCTTGAAGACGTCTGCATTGAGGGTTTGTATCATTTATTATTATCATAATATTATTTACTATTATAATATACAACAGAAGTTAAAAAAACAAGGTTATTACAGTGCAAAATACGAATGTGAATATGGAGGAGCCTTGCAAATACAGCAAAATGTCAACCTCCCTGTATTTCAGGTACTCAGGACACACACACACACAGTCACACTATCACCACGTTTCGCGAGGGGACATGTAATAATCAGCGAGTATCAGCTCCCTCTCCTCCTCTGTGGCTCCCGATTACCCTGCCTCACCAGGTCTCTTCCCCTCCCCTCATCTCCCACTGACCCACACAAACGCACTGAGAGTGGTGGTCCGAGATCTCACCCTATGGCCGGCTGCATGCGTAAAACTGTCGTCCCCTCTGCAGCCCGGCCTTCCTCACTGTCCTGAGCACACGTTGGTCCTGGTGATCCCGGTACCCGGGGCCCAGGGAGCAGCAACCTCCAAACAGTGGCCTCCAGTCATAAAATGTGTTGCGTGCCACTACCAAGGGGATGGCGTATCACATGCCAGCGGTCGGCCACAACTGCACTAGAAGGATGTGCTTTGATGGGCTGAATGGCCTGTCCTCACCCGTAACTCTTCTTTATGTTCTTTAATGCACAATCCATCCACGAGGACAGGCAAGTGACTTATTCTTCAGCACTGCTTTTTTTTCTACCCTTGTACACGAGACAATCAAGTGGTGACAAGGCCTTCAATGTTCATTTGCACTTGGAATCTCTCCCTTACAGGCCGCTTTAGACAAGGAACAAGTCACGTGGAGGCTTCTTGTTTCCTTCATTACGGAAAAAAGACTGAAGTCTGTACTTTTTGTATTGTTAGAAAATTGACCTCAGAGAGGTTTATAAAACGCTAAGCTGGTAGGAAGGGAACCTGCATGTATTTGAAATTATTTTTTTCTAATATTACAACAATTCAGTGTCCAACATTTAACACCAGAATAGTTGGGATATCCTCCTGACGTGAAAGGCGCTATACAAATGTAATCTTGTTGTTGTTGTTAACGGGCCTCAGGCAGTAGATATCCCAATGCAGGTACAGTAATTGAACACTTCCAACTCAACACCAGTACTATGTCCACTTCTGCATTGCAGAAGATAATCAAATCCCCATAAAGACACACCGTTCTAAATAATAATAATAATCCATGCATTTGATATAGGGCCTTATCATGTCATCGAAACATCTCAAAACATTTCACAGTAATATCAAATATTTATATCAAATATTTTATAGAAAATAGGGTGCAAAATGCCAAACTAAAATAAATTGTAGGGCTTCAGTAAAGACTGCGACCTTCAGTGAGTTCTACTCCACTGTTTGTATGGCTTTGTTTTGATTAAAAGAGGCTAACTGCAGACAAGTAATAAGGGTGATTTTCTGTCAGTATTTCAGTCACTAAATTGAAGCACAAGTTCGCAAGTCATTCAGTTTCAAAGGGAGAGTTGTGCGCTCTTCCCAAAACTAAATATTAGGTGGAGATGAAGGAAAACATTTACTGAGAGATCCTGATCCAATGATTCTTTCATGATTGAAAAAATATCACAGAAACAAGAAGGAACAAAAAAAGAAGCTGTTACCATGAGAACCCTGAAGCTCAGGTCTGGAATTTTAATGCTCTTCTATTGAGAAATGGAAATTGAAAATGAGTGAAAGAGCACTCAGCTTCTTCAGTTATGCTCATCTGTGTATTTTAATTAACTACCACTTCAGAGCCTGAACTGAATTGAATAGATGCAGTGGTGATGAAGAGAGTGCTTGCTTATTACACCTGGTACTGGTTCCATTAATGCAGTGCTGTGAGCAGACTGACGCAAGTCTGTCAAAAGATGCTTTCTTCCATCAAAACATAATCTATTGATGAGTCATTTTGCTTCTAGTCATTAGCACACATGCGAAACAACTAACTAATGCATATAATGAAATATCAGATATTGATCGAAAACTAGAGATTGCAATCTTGTCTGTAACATCTTAAACTTCAAATGCCATGTATGAAATGTCCCCTGTAATCACATTAACACAATTAATACAGCTTCATCCTACTGCTAAATAATATTAGTTAGAGATTGTAAAAGGTAAAGGTTTTAGTAAACTTTTGCTCACCTCCTAAAAGAACATGTGATATGTTTAACAAAGTGCTGTTATTAGTATTATTAGAAACAAAGAAATTACTACCCAAGAGAAAATTTGGCTCATCGAGACTCTATTGGCGCCAATTCCTACACCCGTCATCTTATATATTGTTATAATGAATGAGATGTAAGAGGCATGAAAGGAAAAACTGATCCACGTCAAATGAATCTCATCCAAATCAAAGGAATCTAGACAAGGAGCCAAATATTTTCTTTCTGAATTACATTCAGCAAAGCCAAATGACCCTTAACGTTCAGATTAAACTCCAGACTACAGCAGGCCATTTCGGAGCTCCACATCTTCACTGACACTGGAAACCGTTTTGTGGAATCTTACATCACACAAACCAATGTTGCTTGCTTCAGAAAAAAAAATTGGTGAGTGTAATTAAAAGCAAATTAAATGCAATTAAAGGGTTAAAGTTGGAGCCTTGTATCGGATCAAAATATGGCATTTGAAAACTGGAAATAACTATTCGGAAAGCAAATTTAATTTTACACCTGAAATTGTGGCATTTGCTAAACAAAACCATGGTTCTGAACAATAGCAAACGCCACTTTGCATCCAGAATCTTGCTTTTGGACCTTGCTTAGTTGCGAAACAACCCAATAGCAAAACATTGGCTATGACTTCCAGTTCACAAGGATCAGGAAAATAAAAAATATTAACAATAATCCTTGTATTTGACGTAGCACCTTTCAAGTTAGGAAAGCATGTCGTTTCCCACAGCTGACTGGGATCCTAAAGGGGGGTGGGGGTTGGGCAGGGGAAGCCCGGGGAAAGTGGTTGAAAGCACGTTTGAAAGGATAGATTTTAAAAATGGCGGCAATTTAATTCTGAACAATCTGGAACGAACAAACATTCTTCACAAACCAGGGAGCTTCAGGGCCAAGACAGTCACTATATCAGGACACAAAAAGACCACATCTTTGTGATATCATAGCATATTAATCCCCCCACCCACTCCCTGTCCCCCCCATACACTAAGTGCACACACAACTTTCCAAATATTAATCATCAAAATTACAAGTTTTAATTGACTAAAGCTCAATGTAAGTCCTCATACGATCAAACACATTGAATACTGGAGATAATAACAGAAGAGTTCAGCTGCCATAAATAGAAAGGACACATAATGATTAAAGCCTGAATAAAACAGGTCATAAACAAAAAGTCCTGAGCTGAAAGCTGTTAAAAAGTAAAATGTTAATTGGAACATTTAGTCCTGACCCAGCACAGTGTCTGTTATGATCTGAGGTATTAAGTGGGGTTATCAGACTGTATTATTATGTTGTTTTATTACAGTACATCAATGGGGCTAATGAGTTTGCCGAATTGATTCGTTTTAAAACTTGTTGTCTTTAGATTGTGAATTGCCTTCAGCTGGACTGGGAGAAACTTGTGAAATTCATCCTTTGAAATTGTTTCTATAAAGTAGTCTGACATGTTACAGACATCATTTCTGTAGTTGTATTTTTTTCTCATATTCAGTGCGATTGTGATCACTTACCCCCTTTTGCTAGCTGCTGTGGAGCTGAGGTCGAGGTATTGCAGTTGTTGGCAGCCCATGGCTATGGCCTGAACTCCTGTATCTGTTATTTTCTTACAGCCACTGACATCAAGGTGTCTATTTGTAGGAAGACAAAGAAGACCTCAGCGACATCAAACACACAGCATAGGTCAATATGCAGCTCCCTGGCCGTGATCTTTCATATCTTTCATCACTATAAATATAGATTACTCGCCTAAGGGCAGCAGGATGTTCTCTTTCTTTTCTTAGTCATCAATCTCAAAGTGAACAAATCCATTAACTCCCAGAACTGCAATAAATATGGATTTGTAAAATTACTGAAAATAAAGCTTCAATTCTATAAAAGATTCTTATTTTCATCAGAATCCATGCAACAGAATCTCTGAACCAAACTTTAAGACAACACATGGCTGCCGTTTGTCTGGCATGGAGTGTGCTGAAGTCTCCCAAAGGAATGCACCTTGCTTTCCTAATCCTGGAGAGTTTTGTTGCAGTCTGGCAAGAGCCAAAGTTTGGGGACTCTAAAGTGTGCATTGAGTAGGTACTGTTGGAGTTTAACCACCTAAACCTACTGGAGAACATGGCAAGCTTCTGCTGCTTGCCAAGCTCAGGCTACCCCAAATATTATACAATATTAAATTTAAAGTACAGTAGAAGGCCATTTGGACTATTTTGTTTGTGCCGGCTTCTTTAAGAGCAATCCTTTGAGTCCTTTCTGCCCTGTAGTTTACTCTTTTGTAGGTATTCATCTGGTTCTCTTTTGAAAGATAATATGGAGCCTGCCGCAACCACCACTCCCGGCAGAGCATTCCATATCCTAACCACACTGTGTGAAAAAAAATTCTTCTAACCTACCATTTGCTAATTATCTTAAAATGAAGTCACTCATTCACTGACCAGTGGAAATAAAGTCTCTCTGCTGACTATGAAAACCCCTCATAATTTTGGAGCCCTCTATCTGTCACGCTCTTAAACTTCGCTGTTCCAAAGGAAAAAATTCTCAGCTCCTGCCATCTCTGCACACATTTTGCCTTGAAGGGTTATCAGGAGCAACATCCAGTGGATTTCTGAATTCAGTTATTGACAGTAATACATTACATCTGTTATTATTTAACATTTCCAGGTGAAACCTTTTGACTACAAACTAAAAAGAAAATGAGCAACAGTGGGATCTAACACCCAGCAATTGCTATATCTTGTCGTTATCTAATGGAAGCCTAAAGACACACTCAATTCTGTTCAGCCATGACTCACACACTCAGATATGAGTCACTGAGTGACGTTTCATTGGTCCTTTTACGAATGTGTGCGTTTTGGCCTGGTTACTGCCCAGTTTGGTTGATAACCCATTTGGATTGGTTTCCATGGTGCCCACACCTGTGTGCATAACATTATCTTAAGGCGTTCACATCATTCCATCGGCTGCACATGGTCATTTTGTGGGTTACGTGCAAGAAAAATCCAGCATAATGATGCAGAAAAGGGCTGGATTTTAACTCAGGTGGAGGAAGCCTCCTGATGATTGCTAATGACTACTTTACATATAGAGGAGGTGACATTTGCTTTCACAATCTCAAACGCAAGTGCTACAGGTCTATTTACACAAAGTCAACACTGTTGGTTTCTTTGTTTCTGTTTTTCAAAAATAGAACAAAATCCTTAACCTTGACCCATTTATTACGTTCACAGCAATAAAAGAGGCATTGACCTGCCTTTGAGCTATTGGCAACTTCTGAAATTCCATAAGTTTCCAATAGCTCAAAGGCAGGTCAATGCCTCTTTATAAATGTGATCGAAAAAACACTTCCTCATGAATGACTGGAAGTGCCTTATGGCTACTTTACATAATGTTATATAGAGTTACATAGAGTGTTGAGCACAGGAACAGGCCATTCGGCCCAACTAATCCATGCCAGTGTTTTTGCTCTACAAGATCTCCCACCCCACCTATTCCCTCTCCTTTCCCTTCTATTTTCTTCTCCCACAGATATGCAACAAAAAAATACCAAGAAACGATTTCTCTTCAATCCATTGATCCTTTTTGTGCCATCCACAGCTGCCGGCAATGAATTCCACGTTCTCACCACCCTCTGTGTAAAGAAGTTCCTCCTAAACTTCCTATTAGATCTACCACTGGCTATCCTTTATTAATGCTCCTCACTCTGGACTCACCAACAAGTGGAAATAGGTTATCAACATCCATCTCATTCAATCCGTTTACAATTGTAAATTCAATTCAAGCCGTCGTTTTTTGATCATTTCATTTTTTGAAACAATACTTTCCTTTTCCTCAGCCAAGAAGAGCCTCCAGGCTTTCAACTGAGCGTCAATGTACAGCTAGCCAGTAGGGAGTGATGAGGAGTTGACTTTCCCTTTGATTTTTCCCTCAATTCCTATGAGTCACCACTTGTAAGAAATCACAGCCCCGAAACTGCATCTTACCACTCTGTGGTGTAGCATGCCAACACCTCAATTAATCGTAACCTTCTAAAATCAGTGGATGCCTTTCTTACCTTATGGTAGGTAAGTATGTGCTTATTTCAACCAGGCTGACATCTGTCACCTGTAGGCAGGAGCTGAGAGTGAGGCGTTCCATCTTTGGGCACTGTCTGACAACATGATGCACCACGTGGTCCCGAACCTGCAAAAACAGCACTGTCTCATTGGTATCTGTACTGACTCTGGTTTTCTTTGCTGGGTCTACTGTGCTCCTTTCTGTAAGCTACAGCAAACAGCCCCAGAAAATGCCGTGATTTTTAATGGAAATCTTCAATAAGGAATTTCCTTCCAGTAACCGAAAGCAAGATAATTACAGTTTAGATTCATACAGCACCATGAGCGAATAGTTCATAAATTTCACAAATAAAACCCAAATGTAACATATAAATTTGTAATGCTACAAACCATACCTAGTGGGTAAGTGGAACAACAACTACAAATTGTATTTATACAGCGCCTTACCCATTGAGGGACGGGCCAAGGTGCTGACAGAGTGGAAATAATTACAGGGGAATAATCACTCATTCATTTGTCTCTTTGCATTGTATAATTCCTGCTCTCAAACTCCGCCCCATTTCCCTTTCCTCTCCAAAGTCCTGGAACGAGTCGTTGCTTCCCAGCTTCTTTACTTCCTCAATCGCCACTTCCTTCACGAACCCCTCCAATCGGGTTTTGTGCCGTCCACAGCACAGAAACAGCCTTGGTCAAAGTGACAAATGACATTCTGTCCATCTGCGACCAGGGCTCCCACTGCCTCCTCATCCTCCTTGCCCTCTCTGTTGCCTTCAATACCATTGACCACTCTATCCTCATCCACCGCGTCTCGTCTCACCTCTTGTCTCTGTTCTTGAATGGTTCAGATCATACCTCTCACACCAGCTCCACTTCATCTCCACAAACGGTTTCTCCTCTAGCCCCCGCACCGTCTCTTGCAGCATTCCTCAGGGCTCTGTCCTTGGTTCCCTCCTCTTCAATATCTATATGCTCCATCTTGGTGACATCATCCGCAGACATGGGGTCAACATCCACTTCAATGTATGTGAATGATACCCAACCCTATCTCTCTGCCTCCACCCTTGACTTCAGGATCACTGCTGTCCTGACAGAAATGTCAGTCAGACATAAAGTCCTGAATAAGAGCTAATTTTCTTCAGTTGAATGTCAACAAGACCGAGGCGCTCCTGATTGGCTCCTGTCAGCGCCTCCACACCTCAGGCACTGACAGCGTTATCACCCATGGTTGCACACTCCACCTTGCTAAGCCAGTCTGGAACCTTGGGGGTCTTGTTTGACCCTCAACTATCCTTTATACCCCACATCTGTGTCATGACCCACTCTGCCTTCTCCCATCTCTGCAACATCGCCCGGCTTCACTACTGTCTCACACCGCAGGCCACTGAAATAGTCATACACACATTCATAACATTGAGGCTTGAATAAGCAAACTACTTGCTTGACAGCCTCCCCAACTGTTCCCTCCATAGGCTGCAGCTCATCCAGAACTCAGTAGCCCGCGTCCTCTCCCGCACCAGGCTCCGTGACCCTGTCCGCCCCATCCTCGCATGACTCCACTGGCTTCCCATCACACAGAGGATACAGTTCAAGACCCTGGTCCTCACCTCAAAGCCCTCCATGGCCTTGCTCCCCCTTACCTCTGCAACTTCCTAACCCCCTACCGTCCTGCCCACTCCCTCCGCTCAGTGGGCTCCGGCCTGCCCGCCCCATACTCGCCCGCCCATTGGCGGGCAAGCCTTCTGCCACTCTGCCCCCACCCTCTGGAACTCCATCCCGAAATTCCTCCGCCCCGCCCCCTCTCTTGCCTCCTTTAAGACCCATCTCAAGACCCTGCTCTTTGTCCGTGCTTTCGATCATCCTTGTACACCCCTTGCCCTCCACCCTCCCCAATCCCGACCCCCAGCTCGGGTCCATAACACTGACTGTCCAGCGCCTTGGGACATCCTCCTGATGTGAAAGGCGCTGTATAAATGTAATTTTCTTGTTGTTGTAATGTTAGTTATGATTTCCGATAATCGGTTATGTGCAAAAATCTTCAGAATACCACAACAACAACTGCATTTATATACTCAGTTACGTGGCATAGGATTTTGGAGTGCTTAAAATTATACCAGAGAGTGGACTCAAGCATTTGTGTCACTCGATACATTACAATTTACATATCACCTTTAAGGTTGGGAGGACGTTTCAAAGCCCATTCGCAATGTTGTTGAATATACACCCAAGCGTGGTGGGGGGGGAAGAGGAGAGAGGGAGCAAATCAGAAGGACCCCAGGATGGAGTTCCAGATAGTCGCAGCAGAAAGGAGGATCGCCCACCCGCTGATGGTGGGTGGATGGTGGGGGGGTGGGGAACATGAAGCTGGTCATTACTCACTGAGCAAAGGGAGTGACCAGGTCAGCAGAGTTGACAGAGGTCACAGAGGTAGGGAGGTGCAAGACCATGGAGGGATTTATAGGTCATATGTTAGTATTATCTTAATTACATTTAGACTAATGTTAAGCTTGTGCCACCTTTGCTGAAAATCAGGTAACAAACTGAAGACAAAAACAGTCACTCACTATTACACTATCTACAAACTAAGGAAGAGGGCCAACCTTCAGTGAGATCTCAGACTGGTAGCCTGCGTGCCCACTCCACTGTGCCGCTGCAGAAATTGAGGACAGACAGGAATCCTCCACACAGGAGCTACATAAATGTGGCCACTTAAAAAAAGGTAAATACAATGCTTGTATAGTCGGAATATAGCGACCATTCAAAATACTTACTCTGAGAGTTACCATCCGGTTTAAGAACAACGAGGCTTCTAAGATCAAGAATATATTAGGAATGAGTGGGAATGATTACAAAACTATTTAAACTCACAGGCCCAATTTATGCTTTGAAGTGGCACGCATTAAATTTCCACAATGCCTTAGAATTGGCAGGCCTGCATTGCTGTTTTCCTGCTGTTTTGCTGTGCTCTTTTTTGTGTCCTGTAATGTTCCAGCTCTTAAGCATATCGTTGCACTTGAGTGACTTTTCTCAGTCCTTACCGCATTTAGTCCTGATAGGTTCAGTGTCATCAGGCTTGTCAAGCAAGTCACGATCTGTACCAGACAGATAGCTGTGATCTTTGGCAGCCTTCCAATGTTCAGGATCTGGAGGTCACGGCACCTCTGGGCCATGTAGCTCAGACAGTGTGCACTCAGAGTATGGCATCCAAATACTTCCAGGTCTCTCAGACTGGATGAGAAAAGAGAGGCAACAAGTTAGAAGTTTCAAGGAGCTTGATGGAAGTTTGCCTGTTCTCGTTCATTAATAATAATAATCCTTGCATTTGATATGGCACCTTATCACATCATTGAGAGACGTCTCAAAGCGCTTCACAGAGTATATTGTAAAGTGGATTCACTGTGAATTTTATGGGAGAAACATGGCAGCCAATTGTGCATAGCAGTGTCCCACAAACAGTCGTGGATTGATTAACCAATTTTTTTTTGAGGGATTATTATTCCCAAAAAGCAAATCGTCAATAGACTAACAATCGGGTTCCTATTTACTGCTAGGTAAACACAGGCGAGCGGAGTAGGGAAACTTGCTTAAGGTTCCGCCCCGCCTGGGAATCTAATTCAGGCTCTCTCACTTGCGAAACAAGCGCGCTAACCAATATGCTACAGGACTCCATGATACCAACAGACAGAGATAGAGACACACACACACACATAGACACAGAAACAGACACAGACACAGATATTGATTGCAGTTAAAAACAATATATCATTGCTATTAAAGGCAGTTATTCCACTCCAATTTGAAAATCTGATGTCATATTGGAAGCAATGATTGGTAAATTCGCAAGATTTACTTGGTGATCAGAGCTTATTGACAACAATGAGATTTGTGGCAACTGGTTAATATTCCAGGTATTTAATATAAATTTGTGGTTGTAGCAATGGAAGGTCTTGTACTAAGCACTACACTTCTTGTGACTTATTTAAATGTACCAAGAGCAGGACTTTGAATTGGTTAACAAGCTGTACAGTACAAGAAGTACAGCTGCATCAGCACAACATTCATTGTTTCTAATTACCTAGCATGACGGCTGCTAAGATGCTCCAAGTTGTAATTGAAATGTGTTCAGAAGAAGCAATCTGCTTCTCCTCCTTTGCAATAATAGAAAAATAATAGCTCAGTTGAGGTTGTGACTCTTCTGACAGTGTCTATTGACATAGGTTTTTCCTTTTGCCCATTACAAAAAGCCTTACATATTCTTATGTGATGTGATTTTCAGGTTGTCCTGACAATGTTCTGACTATGCTTTCTGGCCTCTGCAAATACCTTGCTGCTAGGAGCAGTGTTCAAAGGAACTTCATGAGGGTGGCTTACCCTCCGATTTTACCCGTTATGAAAGTGTCTAGACCTGACTGCCACCTTCTTGATGAACAGACATAGCAAGCCTTGTGCACATTCGAGCATTCCCTGACTTGCAGTACAACAACATGCTTGTATTGATATAACAACCTTCACAACAAGTAGCATCTTGAAGTGCGCTTGAGATCCCCCTCCCTAACTCTCTCCTTCCTCAGTCCCATTTATCTGCCCTTACCCCATAGACTGCCTTTCACATTGGGAGAATGTCTCAAAGTGCTTTACAAAGACTAAGCGGAAGGGAGCTACAACACAAACTTACATTTGTATAACGTCTTTCACATTGGGAGGACGTCCCAAAGTGCTGGACAGCCAGGGATTTGGATCCGAACAGGGAGGGGGGGATTGGGGGTAAGGGATAGAGCTGGCATTAGGTGGGGGTAGCGGATTGCAGGCTGAAAAAAGAGGTAGGTCCTCATGAGGCAAAATCTCAAAATGCTTCACAATAAATATTGTCAAGTGTAGTAATTGCTGTTTGTAGACAAGCACAGCAGCTATTTGCACCATTAACGTCTTGCAAGCAGTCATGGGACAAATGACGATTCAACTGGGGATTGTTGGCAAGGACACCAGGGGAAACTCCCCTCCCTTTTCAGGTATTAGTGTCATTGGTCTTTAACCTCCACCTGAAAAAGGAGCTACCCGCGTGAAGGGTGCCATAAAAATGCAAGTTGTTGTTGTTAAAAACAGGCATCCAGGACAACCTTGGTTTAATATCTCATCAGAATCGTGGCAAGTTAAGCATTTCTGCGCTCCCCCAAGGTTTCATTGTATCAGTATACGACATATACTCAACAACAACAAAATTACATTTATAGAGCGCCTTTCACATCGTGAGGACGTCCCAAAGCACTGAACAGTCAGGTGTTGGGGCCCGAACATGGGGAAGGGGTGGTGTAGGGGTGAGGGAAGGCAGAGAGGTGGGAGGGCGACCAAAGGCACGATCGAAGAGAAGGGTCTTGAGACCGGCCTTGAAGGAGGCAAGGGAGGAAGTGAGGCAAAAGGACTGCGGGATGGAGTTTCAGAGTGTGGGGGCAGAGAGGCTGAAAGCCCGGCCACAGATGGTAGGGCGGGAGACATGGAGCAGGCCGGAGCCTGTTGAACGGAGGGAGTGGGCAAGTTGGTAGGGAGTCAGCAGGTCAGAGAGGTAGGAGGGGACAAGGCCATGGATGGCCTTGAAAGTGAGGACGGGGATCTTGAACTCGATCCTCTGGGGAATGGAGAGCCAGTGGAGTCGGGTGAGGGTGGGAGTGATGGGGTCACAGAGCCTGGTGCACAAGAGTACACGAGCTGCAGAGTTTTGGATCATCTGCAGCTTGTGAAGGGAAGAGTTGGGAAGGCCGATGAGGAGGGAGTTTCTGTAATCGAGCCTTGATATGATGAATGCATGGATAAGGGATTTGGCAGCTTGAGGGGTGAGGAAGTGGCGGATTCTTGACTCATATGACAGATTTTAGAGGGTTTGGAAAATGAAAGGAATTTGACTTTAACTCTAATGCACCATCAAGTTTAAGCACAGCCTGAGTTTGGAGGTACTTTTTAATTAAAAATAGGTATCTATTTGTTGTCTTAATTCTGATTTTTGAATGCTGGTCTGTGATATTATAATCAGAGAAAGCTATTTGCAAAATAACTGAAGCTCTTTGTTCTGTATCAATTTGTCATCAGTCAGGTTTTTTTTACTTAGAATGGGGTGATGAAAAGTCACTAGGACTTACAGATGTGTTCTCAAGCACTGTAGGAACTCCTACAGATTCACCTGCGTTGCTGTGGCAAACACAGGGATGAACTGTTTGAAGAGGCAAACGGAGAGATTGAGTGGATCACCTTTCATGGCTTTATCACTATACTTTTGATCTTTTTTAAGGTCTCAATATTAAATCATAATGAAGTGCAATTCTGATTGAAAGATGAAAACAAGCACAACACTGCACAGAAACACAGAGCTTCACAGTGTGGTCTCACAGTGAAGTACCCATTTAGACTTTAAATGAGCCCATCTGATAACAAAAGAGAGAGGAAAAAGCACTAAAACAGTGGTCTTTCCACGTCAGTCTCTACATGACAATTTACATGCATAAAGATCTTTTCATGTCGGGAAGACCTCCCAAAGTGCACTGGAGTGTGCTATGCTTTGTATGTCTATAGGATGGAGACTAGTTATGTTCTGGATGTATAGGTGATCTGTGGTTGTCGGGTTAAAGCATAGTGAAGTAAAAATTCCATTCAGCGTGATGTACAGTGCCTGTGGTGATGAAAAAATCCCAATAGTGTACAGCATCACCTTTAGCAATGCATGTAATGCTGATTGGATTTTTTTTCCTCAATTGTAATGGAATATTAATGGAACTTTACATCTTCACCCTTTATATATTCTTACTAAACTTGACCAGGCAGTGTTTGGTGCTGACACTGGGAGCCTAAAATGAGAAAGGGCTGGTTGACTTTCCTGAATGAGATGAACTGAAAAATAAACTTTACAATACATTCCTCCGTACACATTGAAACAACTAGAGTACAGAATCATACAGCACAGAAGGAGGTCATTCAGCCCATCGTGCCTGTGCCGGCTCTTTGAAAAGAGCTATCCAAATCAATCCCACTCCTCCGCTCTCTCCCCATAGCCCTGCAAACTTGTCCTCCCCAAATAATTATCTACTTGTCTCTTAAAAGTTGTTAACAAATCGGCTTCCACCACCCTTTCAGGCAAGGCATTCCAGATCCGAACAACTCACTGCGTGAATACATTTCTCTTCACCTCCCCTCTGTTTCTTTTAACAACCATTTTAAACGGATATCTTCAGGTTACTAATCCACCCGGCAATGGAAATAATTTCTCCTTGTTCACCCGACTGAATCCCCTCATAATTGTGAACACCTCTATTAAAACTCCCCTTAATCTTCTCTGCTCCAAGGAGAATAATGAACAGGAAATGAAGGATGACAAGATAAAAAAATTAATCTTGATGCATTCCATATCTTCCTTGTTGAAATGATCAATCGGGAATTTTGGATGCATTTTGATTGAAGCACTTAACATTCAAGTGAAGCACTTGTAAAACAATTCTGTACATATTTAAAGAAAATATTCATGTAGAATAACTGACAATTCATAGAAATATACTGACTGAGACATTGACGAGTGGAGTTTCCATGTTTTCCACTTCAAATGAACTGAATAATGGCTAAAAACAAAATTGCAGCTGCTGTAAGCGAAAGCTCACTGTGAATTGAAACATACAGACCGGAACCAATTCCTAGTGTATTTGCATCACATGAATCCAATAGCTTTATTACAGCCTCTATTCACTGCATTCGTAGTGCAGTGCTACACAAATGAGAACAGCACAGCAAGGAAATTAATATAGCACTAATTACTGAAGGACCACAATGGTTTATAATGAACTCTTTGCCCTGTGCTGGTTGATACAGAACATATTCCTCTAACAAAAAATGCAATTATTCCTCTCGCTCAGCCTTTCTACAAAATGGATTGTTGCGACATTTTACCAAGGTCCATCAAATGGCACAACCGTAGCCACGGAGACCGCAGTGTTTAGCTGGCCATCTTAATTTGGAGCCTTGAACCTTTGTACTAAAAAGAAATACTCAATATTATGTTAGCAAAATGCATGGTGTGGCAGTCAAACTGCTCAGACAGTCAAGGTTTAAAGGAATATGATGCTCAAACAACAAAATTGTAGATCAAAGACCCATTGCTCTCTGTCACTGGTTGAGAAATGAGTGAAGAATGTTATCAATTCTCAAACATGCTCTTAGAATAATGCTTGAACTGCTGTTTGACACTGGTGACAGCAACGGTGGCCTCCACAGCCTAGCTTGTCAAACCTTAAAGAGAAAATGTGAAGAAAAACAAAATGTCAAATAACATAATATAATAGCTTCAAAAGTTCTTACCAGATCTCCCGATGGTTTCGTGGCTAATGGAACTATTTGGAAAAGTATGAGAACATGCAGACCAGAAGCTCGCAGGTATAAATCCAGTTGTTATTTTACTGCACTATTTTGTCAGCCCACCACACATATCGTTGCCTGGCTCCACTCGCACCTTATCTCCCACCAAATCAAATTTACCTCCTCCTTACTTTCAAATGCCTCCATGCCCTCATCCCCACCCTATCTTTGTGACTTCCTACAACCTTATTCTCCCAGTCATTCCCTCCACTCTGCCAACTCCGCCCACTCCATCCCACTATCAGTGGATGAGCTACTTCGCTCTGGAAATCTCTCTATCATTTCTTCCCCCTCCCCGTTCAAAACCTACCTAAAGACCCATATCTCTGACTCTCCCTTAACCTCCTCCAAATTCTCCTCCTCCTCTCCTGAAATTGTGTAACTCCTTGTTCCCCTCTGTCATTCCATAGATGCTGGATGCCCTCAGGTACCTCACCCAAGTGATTACTAGCCATACGTGAGCCTTGACAGTGTTGGCAGGACAGCCGAGCATGAAGGACATCATAACCAAGCAGAATCCATTCCCAGCAGGACACAATGGTAACCAACTGCTGAGATCTACTAGCACAGCATAGACCTACATTCAAACCTGCAGTCTTCCAGTCTGAGTGGCATAAAAAAACCTTTACTTATGTCCTTTTACCATGTTACCATTCTTTGAAGGACATTACCACAGATCAGCATTAACGGGGAAGATCTTACCTCTTTCCATGCTTTTTACTCAAAACGTTAATGGCTTCATCTGTGAGGTGGCAGCCGTTAACACAGAGTCTTTGAAGCCTGCAGCACATAAGTCATTACAGTATATGGAAGCTTTACTTTTATGTACACACATACTGAATATATATATATAAATAAACATGTTTTCATCCTATCCATGGCGTGAATGTGCCTCCTATATATTATCCTATATGTATCATCTTGCATTTGTCTGTACTTAATTTCATTTGCCATCAGCCCATGCTACACCTCATTGAGTTCTCTTTACAAGGCATTAGCTGCCTCCATTGGTTCGACAGTTTCTCAGAGGATGAGATGCAAAAGAACCACGAGAAGCTTCAGACAACGAGATGCATCAAGAGACATGAGCATAGGACATAGAAGTATGTATGGCACAACAACATGTACTTACAATATAATACAAATTTACAATTATATAACACCATTCACATAGAGAGAATATTCCAAGGTGCTGGACAGTCCAGGGTTTGCACCCGAACTGGGGTGGAGGGCTGATCGGAGGTGAAATGACCAAAAGCATTGTCAAAGAGGAAGGTCTTCAGGTGGACCTTACATAAGAACATAAGAAATGCTAGACGAAAAAAGAACAGGGTCCAACTAGCCTTCCACCTTCCTGGCAGTCGCATGCACATATGTCCCAAACTACCTACGTACTATAGCCCATAATGTTATTTCTTAAAAGAATACTATCTAATCTGTGTTTGAAAGAATCAACATTTTCTGCTTCAACCGTCTCCCTTTGGAGCCTGTTTCACAGTTACTCCACTTCAATCGCAGGCCGTGACCTCGGGTTTTACTATTCTAGACAAGTTGAAACAACCTGTCATGATCTATATTGTTTTGCCCCTCTAAGATTTTAATGGCAGCAATCATGTCGCCTCTCAATCTTCTCTTTTCCAGTGTGAACATGCCTAATTTACTTAGTCGCTCCTCATAGACCAAGCCCACCATTCCCTCAATCATTTTGGTTGCCATTTTGTACTGCGGCAACCAGAACTATACACAGTGCTTTAAGTATGGTCTCGCCAATGGTTTGTGCAGGAACAGGATTAACCCACTATTTCAGCTTGCTATTGATCTTTTGATACATCACAACAGCTGGTTTGCTTTATTCACTGCCACAGAGCATTGTTGGTGCCTTGAAGCAGGTGAGGGAAGGGGTGAGTCTAAAGGACTCTGCTTTGGAGTTCTGGAGGCACATATGCTGAAAGCCCAACCAACGATGGTGAGGCAAGTGGGACGGGTGGGGGACTTGAAGCAGGCTGGTGCTCGCTGAGGGTTTAAGGAGGTTGCAGAGGTTTAAAGGGTGGGGCAAGACCATGGAGGAATTTAAAGGTTAAGGACATGCATCTTGAACTTACTGCAACACATACCGTGAACAGGCTTCAACCAGTGCTACAATGCCGCTGTCAGTGGCCCCCGACCAGCTGACGTCCACAGAGACCAGCCAGCAGCAAACTGCACTCGCCTGGAGCAGCACTTGGTCTCCTCGCAAATTCAGCCCGCTGCAGCTTGTAACATTCAACTCCTGTGTGTTTCAGAAAGTCCCAATTAGAATCGTCACTGAATATAATTTATCAACAATATGAAAATACGCAAGTTTCAGTCATAAACGGAAGATGTATTCAAAATAATAAAAATTAACATGCGCATTTCCAAGGACTTCCCTGATGATCATAATTAAAAAATGAACTTGGTAAAGAAAAAGTTCCTGATCTCTGTGCTCAAATTGCCCTTTGTAACACAAAAACCTATATCCTTTTGTTCTGCTGTCCTGGTCCATCCATTTCTGTCCTCACATGATGTCCATTATAATAATAATAATGTCCATTATGACCAGGGTTTAGAGGTATCTCATTCTAACCCCAGCACCTTCATTTTCTACAGTGTAAGAGTAATAATAATAATCCTTACATTTAATAGCTTATCAAGTCAATGAGTCATCTCAAATCTCTTCAGAGGATATACTGGAAAGTGGATTGCTTGTGTATTCTGTGGGTGAAATGCAGCAGCCAGTTGCACACAGCAACGTCCCACAAACAGCTAATAGAGTGCCATTGGGATCTATCACCCACTGAGTCAAAGAAAGGGGGAGGTAGGTGGGATCTCATTGTGACTAACCTAGTTCTAAGATGTTATTGCTAGCAATGGAATATCAATCAAATCAATCCTCTGTGGCAGTCTTAGTCGTCTGGTTCCTGAGCCATGCAGGTCCACAGCACCCCAAGGCAATGTTGATGATAGTCTGGCCAGCCTGGCACGTCCACAGGACTCAGAGGCTCAGTGCAGTCACTGGGGACAGGGATTCTTTCTATTAAGCTCTTGTTATCACATGAACAATTGAAGTATGTGACAACATAAAACAAAATCTGATTTATAACTACAGCTTCTTGTGATAGGAAAATAAAAACCTGCGATGCTTTAAAAATGTAAGCCATCGACCAGTTAATTATGAGGCCAAAGTCTTGATAAAATCTGATATTTTTTCCAAATAGATTGAAATATTCCAACAGAAGATAACAACCCTTGGTCGGTAAATAGCATTATTAGTTGATAACTACTCGGTTCACCTTCACGTTAATGGTCATTAAATTTGTTTTTCTTCCTTTAAACACCACTTCCTTAATCCAGCCAATGGATCAAGGGATTATTCAAAATCTTCAGTACCACTAACCCAAACGTTTACCACATAAAAATTTACCAGCCCTCGAGGTCAAGGAAGAGTTTACGGAAAACCTAATGAAAGCGATGTATGGTTTTTTAAAAAAACGGCACATTTGTAAAAAAAAAAATTCTGAATCTCTTTATGCATGCTTTGAAGGAGTCAAAGGCGGGAGCGAGGTGAAGGAAATGTGGAATGGAATTTCAAAGGGTGGGGACAGAGAAGCTGAAGGCCAGACTGCTGTTATGGGGTTAGCAGGTCACACAGGTAGGGAGGAGCCAGGCTATGGAGGGCCTTGAATGCGAGGACGAGGATTTTGAATTCTATTCTCTGGAGGATGGGGAGCCAGGCGAGGGTGAGGCTGATAGGGTCACGGAGCCTGGTGAGGGAGAGGACACGAGCTGCAGAGTTCTGGATGATCTGCAGTTTGTGGAGGAAAGAGTTGGGAAGGCCGACAAGCAGGAAATTGGCGTAGTCGAGCCTAGATGTAATAATTCTGTGGATTCTGTGAATTCACAACAGTTAATGCTGAAGAAGATGCCGACAATGAGGTTCTGTACAAATCAGAAGAATTGAAAAATCTTGCTGTTGATATGGATGCAAATTAGCTTCCACTGGCAGATGAAGATATCATCGCCTCAGCAAAGAAGGGTCAAGACGACAGCCGACCAGAAGCTGAGGAACCTGAAAACAATGTGAATGAGTCCAACGATGACAATACACAAAATATGCTGGAAATCTGAAATAAAAACAGAGAGAGCTGGGAAAACTCAGCAGGTCAGGCAGCATCTATGGAGAAAGGAAAGCGAGTCAACGTTTCGGGTCCACGACCCTTCATCAGTTCAGACCCGAAACAGTGACTCACTTTCCTTTCTCCATAGATGCTGCCTGACCTGCCTGCTGAGTTTTCCCAGCTTTCTCTGTTTTTGTTCCAACGATGACAATATTTGGTGAGTGATGTCCAAAGAAGCATTTAGTGTGTGTGATTCCAGATAGTTATTGCTCAATCAGAGCCATCAAAAGAAATGGAAGAAGCAGCTAACTATTTGGATAAGCTAATCCGAAAACAACAAGTGTCATATATGAAACAAGGTATTCTTAAATTACTTTTTAAAAATAAATTAAACAAAATACCTGTAAGTAAATGGTACAGAAATTGTAATTATAGTATATGAAATACATGCAAATAAATGGTACAGACGTTTTAATCACAGTTAACATGTTGTGCGTTTATATCTTCAAAATTCAGACAGTCCCCAAAATGTTGACATAAGTGCGTAGGACTGTATTATTAATAACACAATTCACCAAACATTGTCAGTAATTTGTTTTGTTCCCTGAAAAATAGGTTAGTGCTGTTCAAACCATCCTCCTCAGAAAAGCTTGTGGTAAAAATATTTTTTGTTAAATTTAAAAAAACATCACAAGATCAGCAGTATTAGTTAAACTAAAATGTTACAATGGTGCATGGTACAAAATCACATGGCCACCAGTTGCTTCTATGCAGAGTTTTTAAAATGCGATATACTGGTGTGATTTAGCCTCAATAGTCAGCTTCCAACAATACATCACACCATGGCTCAATAGAGCACATGAATTTCCAAATCCTTCACGTATTCTTAATCTCATCCATGTTATCAAGAGAAGGGTGTCCTGTACGAAACTGACACTTCCGTCAAGTTCCTTCTGAATAAATCATAAAAGTATTACAATAATAAAGCTACCGAATAACAAATTGTACCAAACAGTAATCCAAGCATCTCTGCATTAACTGAAATATTACGATTGTAAGACAATAGTTACATTACAGGCAATGACCCTTCTACATTAAGGGAAAATACAATTACTGAAGAATGCTAATTTTTAAAGAGTATTTTGAACAGACTCGTTACAACAACAAAAACTTGGATTTATATAGCGCCCTCCACGCCGGACGACGTCTCAGAGCACTTAATAATAACGGATCCCGGGACCGAGCCAGGAGGAGGGGGAAGAAGGTGACTAAAGGCGCGGTCGAAAAGAAAAGTCTTTAGCAGAGACCTGAAATTAGGAAGACAGGGGGCGAGGTGAAGGGAGTGAGGAAGGGAGTTCCCGAGCCTTGGGGGGTAGTTGCTGAAGGCACGGCTGCCGATGGTGTAGCGGAGGATTCGGGGGACAAGGAGGAGGCCAGACCCAGTGAAGCGAAGGCAACGGGCACTTTTGTGAGGAGAGAGGAGGTCAGACAGGTAGGGGAGTGCAGAAGAGTGGAGGGACTTGTTACTTCTAACTATGTACCATGGTCATCCAATTTGCAATATTGTAAGAATTGCAATATGTCCGGACACTCAGACAAATCTCTTCTTGTGAGAGGTTCACTTCAATGACAATACTGATAAAAGCCATCCCCTACATCAGAGCAGTGGAGCACCCACACATGACACATGGACTGGTGTCAAATAGGTTCAATGCCTCCCGACCTCACTTGGAGGAAATTTCAATCTCAGTTCATTGAATTACAGAGACACTGAGCAAGTTTCCCCTGGAAGAAAATCAGAGCGTCATCCTCAGGCTGCCAGTTCAAATGGCCAATGGAGGAAGTCTGTGGGCAAGTTATTCATCGACTGTCTGTCACAACTGGTACATGTAGAATTCAAGATCCTCATCCTCGCCTCGAATTCAAGATCCTCATCCTCGCCTACAAGGCCATTCACGGCCTTGCTTCCTCCTACCTCTCCGACCTACTATCCCCCTATCTACCTGCACGTACCCTCCGTTCCTCTGGCTCCGGTCTGCTCCACATCCCCTGCCCCAACCGCCCTACCATCGGTGGCCGGGCCTTCAGCCTCTCAGCCCCTAGGCTCTGGAACTCTATCCCCCAGCGCCTTCGCCTTGCCTCCTCCCTTTCCTCCTTCAAGGCCGGTCTCAAGACCTTTCTCTTTGACCGTGCCTTCAGCTCCCCTCTCAACTCTCTACTCCCTCCTCGCCCCCTCCCTTCCCTCCCCTCACCCTGACCATTTCCGCCCTCCTCGCTCCCTCCCTTCCCTCCCCTCACCCTGACCATTTCCCCCCTGCTCAGGTCCTGACCCAACTGTCCAGCGCTTTGGGACGTCCACCCGACGTGAAAGGCGCTCTATAAAAGGAATCTTGTTGTTGTTGTTGTAGAAGGTAGAAAAAGAGGAAGCAGAAATCCTGTGTGCTGTTTTTCAAATCTAATGAACAATAACTAACCCAGTCAACATTGGTTACTTGATCAGCGCAAGTACCAGCATGCTTTTAACCATTAACTGAAATTATACAAGTCCCAAGCCTTATTATAAGAAAGTACAGAACATATTGTCAGCCTCCTGCCATATGATAAGAGCATTGTTCTGAAATCATACCCTACATGAAAATAAAGGGACACATTTCCCCATTATATTCAAGGTCCATAGCAAAGCAAGGGAGCATTCAGCCATGATATTTTGCTCCACTTGACAAATGTATTATGATTACAGTGAAATAATTGTGTTCTCTACAATGATGTATAAGAGGAATGTTTGTACACAAACTTATTATGTGACAACCAAATTGGCAATTCAGTAATTTGTGGGTTTCAGAATTGAGTATGTGTGGGTTTGGGAGCATTTACTATTGTATGTATATAAAAAAGCACACAATGCTGAGGAAGCTGATATTATAATGGCACAAAGCTGCTTGCATAAAATAATGGAAACAAAAGAGGATACGATCATTTCTTTAAGTCAAAACAACAAACAACGGAACTCTACTCCAATTGTATCAATCCAATTGCATCTCACTTTTACATTGGAAGCAAGTCAGTTGTTTCTTTGGCCCTGTGGTGATCACCGTTTTTTTTACTAATATAAACACATGGAGAAATTGTTCTTTCTGTATATCTCGAACAAGGAACGTAAAATATGTACATTCAGAAATTTGCCCAACATACAGAAAATGTTTCAATTCATTGTAAGGCAGCTGTTTTTTTTAAAAAATTACTGTGTCTTTTTTTTCATTTGAACATATTTTGTTCATTGAGCTACAAAGAACAGCAGTTCCTCTGCCTTTTCACACATCTCATTTACATTTCTCTATCACACACAGAGAATTGCATTCCTTTGCCTTTTTTGTATTCGTCATTTGTTACTCTCCCATTTGTTCCTATCTCAAATGCTCAGACATTCCTGAGAGGTGTGTGTTGAACAATGAACTAAGGCGCTGTATACCTCATGATGCTTACCTTACCAACCTTCGATCCAGGATGTGGTTTTACTAATCCAGGACAATGTTAGGATTAAGCAATGGATCCAGTTGCCAAAAATAAATGACAGCAAACAGGTTTATTTTCATGCCTCAGTTGCCCAGGGTTTTCCCAAACATAATTGCAACTGAAACTGCACAGCATTTATTATATGCTTTCTGAGAGGCACAAGACTTGCAGATAAATATGTGCCAATACACTCTCTCAATTTCTAAAATATTTAAGTGTGCAAATATTGGTGAGGTCATACTGAATTTTCTACCAATATCCTCCTTTTATCTTTCATCTCCAATTTGCTTTGTACTAAAAATAATTTTCAGAATTTCCCAGAAACATGGCCTGAGATTCCACCTGGTCTTTTCATTTAAGACCATTCTCTCTTGAAAACTAAGACTGCACAGAATTGAGAAATGTTTCCCTTTTCTATTACAGCTGCAAATATAATAATAATCCTTGCATTTGATTATAGCGCCTATCACGTCTTTGAGATATCTCAAACTGCTTCACAGAATATACTGTAAAGTGAATTGACTGCATTTTTTTGTGAGCGAAACACAGCACCCAATTGCGCACAGCAGTGTCCCACAAACAGTTGTGCATTGAGTGACCAAATTATTATTATGATTGTTTTCAAGGATTATTACTCCCGGAAAAGTGATCCGCCAATCGAGTAAACAACTGGGTTCCTACTTACTGCTAGGTAAACAGAGGCGTGTAAGGAAACTTGCCCAACATTTCGCCCTGCCAAGAATCAAATCCAGGTCTCTCGCTTGCGAAGTGAGTGCTCTAACCACTGAGCTACAAATCATAACAGCAGTCCTCCCAGAGGAAATGGTGTGATGACTTAAATTCAAGAATGGGATCTGAATTTGCTGTAAACTTGATTGTACCTTCAGTGAATCCTTGCATTGTCTGAACAGCTCCCGTAAACCTGTCTCTGTAATGGGCTTTGCTCCATCATTGCATCGATAAAGTCGGAGGCTTTGTGGTTGATGACGCCCAATGTTCACGATACAGTCATCGTTCAGGCAGTTGCTGTTGTCGATATTAATTAGCTTCCCTGAAAGAAAACTTGTCCAAGTCAAAGCTTTGTCACATTCCAGAAATCAGAAAAACTGGATAAAATCTCCCTTTCATGACGTTATTTAAGTTTATTTCTTCCTATGGAATGAAATGTTGGTCAGGGTTACAAGCAGCACTTTTGGTTATGTTGGCCACTAATGGATGTTGGTCGTAAGGTATATTTACCGACTATGCCATCGAGGGAACTACATTGGAATCCGCTTTTGCCGAACGCCAGTTAACCCCGGATTTCAGGTAAATCGAACAAAACGCCCGACTCCAAATCATTTGTATTTTTAGTTGTTTTAGATATGCTTGAGACGCTAGCCTGCCTGGATGGCGCTACATAGGTGCAAGTTGGTGTTGTTGGCTGTTGATTCGGACAAAAATCCGGTTACTCCAGGCAAAATGCTGCGTTGGTCGCTGCTGAATGTACTTACTCGGGCCTTTTGTGGTGTCCATTCAACCACAAGGAGCTCCCGGATGCAGATGGGTAGAGTCTAAGATTGACTGACAGCGACTCCAGCCATTCACAAGCATCTGGCTGTCAATCAGTGAGGAGGCAGAGGAACGGGGAAGAACAAGGGAGGGAATAATCGTGATTGATTGACAGCTGAGCGACTTGTGAATGGCTGGAGTGCACATCTACGCACAAGAGGCTGCCGGCTGTCAATCACATCAGGTCGTACCTGGTTGCCTTCCTGTCCAATGGGAATGGCAATGGGAGGGAGGAAGTGTTGCCGCTCTGGGCTGGTATTTTACAGCCAAACAAAGTTAAATATATTTTACTGAATTCTGTGAGAGTACAGGATTTTAACTTTAACTTCTAGGTTAAAATACTTGGTATCCCATTTAGTTAGTAAACATTGCTTCGAGTGAAACAACATTATTACATATATTTATACGGTGTCGGCAGCGCTCCTCTGCTAGGCGGGCGGGCATGGTATTTGGATTACCCTCAGATGCCTCTTAAGACGGACAAAATGTCCATCCCCGATATGTCTGGCTTAACTGGCTTCCACTTTTTAATCAATTACAATTCAATATACCCACTTGTACATCATCAAATAATAATTATAATAATAATCCTTGCATTTGATATAGCGCTTTTCACGTCGGGAGGATGTCCCAAAGCGCTTCACACTGTAAAGTGAATTGACTGTATATTTGTGGGCGAACGCGGCAGCCAATTGCGCACAGCAATGTCCCACAAACAGTCGTAGATTGAAAATGACCAATTTATTATTATTTTTGGTTTTGGAGGGATTATTATTAGGCGTGTGGAGTAAGGAAACTTGCCCAAGGTTTCGCCCTGCCTGGAATTGAACTCAGGTCTCTCGCTTGCAAAGCGAATGCTCTAACCACTGAGCTACAGGACTCGACGAGCTGAGCGGAGGGAGCGGACAGGGTGGTAGGGGGTTAGGAGGTCGCAAAGGTAGGGGGGGAAGCAAGGTCATGGAGGGCTTTGAGGGTGAGGACTAGGATATTGAGCTGTGTTCTCTGACCGATAGGGAGCCAGTGGAGCCAGGCGAGGATGGGGGTGATAGGCTCACGGGAGAGGACACGGGCTGCAGAGTTCTGGATGATCTGCAGCATGTGGAGGGAGAAGTTGGGGAAGCCAACAAGCAGGGAGTTTGTCCAGTGTAAACTGCCTGTATTTGGGGCATTTGAATGAGTAATCAAGATGACCATTCACATGTTACACAATAATAAGATTTAACTTTGCTGCCAGTGATTTGATGTATTTTCATTGCCAATTTTAGCATCCACACTCAATACTTCCATTGGCAAGTCAATTCCTCCCCTGACTATTTTTCGTGCTTAGTCATATGTTTAGTCAGATATGATGGCTTTCTAGACTTCTTGGTGTTGAGGGAGTTGGGGGGGGTTGGGGGTAGATACTGTAGATGGAACAAACTATCCAGCAAGGAACTGGAGGAATATTGTCTGTGAATTCAAAAGGGAATTAGGATAGTTATTTGACAAAGAATTCAGCTGAAGGTGAAGGGTTAAGAGTAGTGCCACATTTTATGAAAACAATGATCAATCTTTTTGCCTTGGGATTGAGCAGCTAAACAATCTTCCAAGGTCCTATACATTCCTACGTTTCCATCCATGTATCATCTACAACTCTGCAGCTTGTGTCCTCATCCGCGCCAGGCTCCGTGACCCTATCACCCCCATGCTTGCCCGGCTCCACTGCGTCCCCATAGAGCTCAAAATCCTTGTCCTAGCCTTCAAGGCCCTCCACAGCCTTGCCCCTCCCTACCTCTGCAACCTGCTGACCCCATATAAACCTGTCCACTCCCTTTGCTCAGCAAGCTCTGGCCTGCTCCACGTCCCCCGCCTGGCCCACTCCACCATCGGCGGCCAGACCTTCAGCCTTTCTGCCCCCACCCTATAGTACACCATCCCCATTCCCTTCGCCTTGCTCCCTGCCTTGCCTCCATCACGGTGCATCTCAAAACCCTCCTCTTCGACCGAGCCTTCGGTCACCCTCCTATCCTCACTGCCCTCCATCCTCCCCAATCCCTAGCTTGGGTCCAAATCCCTGACTGTCCAGCCCCTTGGGACGTCCTCCCGACATGAAAGCCACAAAAAAAATGTAATTTATATTGTATTGTATCTAATCTATTTCTCAAGCAAATTCTCAAACATTTGTTTTATAAAGAAGTCAGCACAGGATCTCGCCTTGTTCTGCTTACCGGCAAGATGAAAGCTTCACTAAATTTATGTTGCAAAGCTTATCATTTATCATGTACACTTTACAGCAATTACAAGAAATCATTGTCAATGCATTGTTTTACTTTAAGGTGGAGCAATAGATACACATGCCCAGAAGGTACACATGCATTTCTCAAGAAAATTATCAGGAATATCAGACAATTGGGTGCATTCAGTCGTTCATCAGAAGAACCTCCATATCTGTGGTTAGGTGCCCACATCAGCAGATAAAATACAGGTGTAATAAAATGCTTTGACCTCATATTTGGTGCCTCCAATCGGGTTTCCTTGCTGCCCATAGCACGGAAACTGCTCTGGTCAAGGTCACAAATGACATCCTGACCATGTGTGACCAGGGCGCCCTCTGCCTACTCGTCCTCCTCAACCTCTCCACCGCCTTTGATACTGTGGACCACTCAATCCTCCTCGACCGCCTCTCCTCCCACCTCAACCTTCCTCCCATCTTGACTGGTTCAGGTCGTACCTTCACTTCATCGTGGCAGCTTCTCCTCCAGCACCCATACGATCTTGTGCGGTGTTCCTCAGGGCTCTGTCCTCGGTCCCCTCCTCTTCACCCTCTACATGCTCCCCTTTGGTGACATCATCCACAGACATGGGGTAAATTTCCACATGTATGCAGATGACACCCAACTCTACCTCTCTGCCTCCACCCTCAACTCCAGGACTACTGGCGTCCTGACCGACTACCTGTCCAACATCAAGTCCTGGATGAGGAACAACTTTCTCCAATTCAATGTCAAGCAAGACCAAGGCCCTCCTGATTGGCTCGCGCCAGGGCCTCAGCACCTCGGGCGCTGACAGCATCAGCCTCCACGGCTGCACACTTGACCTCACTAAGCCAGTCAGGAACCTGGGTGCCTTGTTTGACCCTGAACTGTCCTTTCTCCCCCACATCCATGCCATGATTGGCACTGCCTACCACCACCTCCGCAATATTGCCAGACTCCACCACTGCCTTACCCCTCAGGCTGCCGAAACCCTCACCCAACCATTCGTCACCTCAAAGCTTGATTATGGAAACTCCCTCCTCATCCCTTCACAAGCTACAGATCATCCAAAACTCTGCAGCTCGTGTACTCTCACGCACCAGGCTCCGTGACCTCACCCTTGCCCGACTCCACTGGCTCCCCATCCCTCAGAGGATCGAATTCAGGATCCACGTCCTCACTTTCAGGGCCATCGATGGCCTTGCCTCCTCCTACCTCTCTGACCTACTGACTCCCTACCAACCTGCCCGCTCCCTCCATTCATCGTGCTCCGGTCTGCTCCATGTCTCCCGCCCTACCATCGGTGGCCGGGCTTTCAGCCTTTCTGCCCCCACATTCTTGAACTCCATTCCACAGTCCATTCGCCTCACTTCCTCCCTTGCTTCCTTCAAGGCTGGTCTCAAGACCCTTCTCTTCGATCGTGCCTTCAGTCACCCTTCCACCCCTCTGCCTTCCTTCTCCCCTACTGCACCCCTCCCCCATGCTTGGGTCCTACCCCTGACTGACCAGCGCCTTGGGACGTCCTCCCGATGAGAAAGGCGCTCTATAAATGTAAATTTGTTGCTGTTGTATTTGTACATAGATATCATATCAAATTAAAGCAGTAGTGAAAATGTATTGGTATTAATTTACTCATCTGTCTTTGTTTGGGATTAGAATCAGAAGTATATTCCTGGCAGGAATGGATCAAGATATTACAATGGTGTCCCAAACTACAAGAATGAAGGTTAAGCAATTTCTGAGCTTTCAAGTTAACCCTGAGAGGTTACTCTTCAATTTCACTTTGTGAGTATTTTATATTCTATGCAATGAAAATGAGAGCACCTTTTCAAATAAAAATGGCTTCAAGTGCTTTACCGATAATTGCGTTCAATGTATTTATAATTGTATTTTATAGGCAAACGTGGTGGCCATTTGCACCAGCAACTTTGCACAAACAGATTTTGGTCAGCCGGGTGTCTAACACATGTGGAAACCCATCACCATGCTTACCTCTCCATATACCAATCCAGGTGGATACCAAACCCTGGATATATGAGCATGTGATCATGAACTTGTACTCCGCACAATGCCTTTCAGCAGCTGTCCTTCCAAACTTCAACGTTTCCTCATCAGATATTTGATAGACCTTTGCCTTTAGTGTTGCTACGACCACATCACTCCCACCCTCGCTCGCCTCCACTGGCTCTCCATCCCCCAGAGGATCGAATTCAAGATCCTCATCCTCACCTACAAGGCCATTCACGGCCTTGCTCCCTCCTACCTC